GCCAGACTGCCCTATTTTAATCTTGTTTCCCTTTCTTAAAGATCAGTTCCATTCAACCAGAAGCTGTTGGTCTAGGCTGCATTCAATCAGCTGTCTTTCTGGCCTCATCACCCATGAAAGTTGATGCCTGCAAAGCACAGCCCACACCCTCTAGGTCCACCCCTGACCCTGATCCTTCCCAGTCCACAAGCACCTGAGTACCTGGTCCTGAATAAGGTGCTGTGCTCTGCTCCTGCTGTGGCCCTCGTGCCCTGCCTCCTCCACAGCTGAGGGTGCCGTTGTAGCCACAGGGAACAGCTGGAGAAGGTAGAGGCCGGACTCAGCTGCATGCAGATGGCAGTAGCTGCCGGGGGAGGGTGGTGCTGCTCCAGCAGCCCCCCAGCCTGCACCAAGCATGTGACAGGCATGCAGGGTGCTCCTGTGCTTGGTAGGAAAAGGCTCAGTGCAGGGGTGGACAGTCCCTCTGTGAATCTCTGTGGGTCCTCCTGAAGCAGAAACCACCCATCCTCACCCACACAAGCGGAGAGCCAAACAGGCTCAGGGAAGACAGGAGGCTCACAACTGCAGACCTAGAACTTGCAGATCCCTTCGCTCCCTCTCCTGACACCTGACCCTGCCCTAAAGAGCCTTGCCCATCCCTCTCTGCATTTTCACTGCCCTGATGATCATGTTCTGCTATTTGTGGCTTTCGATCAGCCTTCTTGTAGCTAATCACAGCAGTGGGGGTTACCCTGGGCTGCCCCAGCACAGCCAACCATGCCCCACACAGAGCAAACCCACAGCAAGTAGGAGCTGCCTCCTGTTTCCAGCTGAACCTCCGATGCCTCCCAAGGGCAACTATCTCCAAAACCTGAGTTTTAGGCACTTCCCATGTAAATTCTAGTGGCCAAAATAATGTTTTTCCACTTTTTAATATTCTCCTCCATAAAACTCATGTCCTGTCCACAATACTTCTGGCCAAGCAGTCTGCTTACACATTTCTCCAGGTTTATATCAACTGCCTGTGCAGACGAGCATCTAAATGGGTGAGAAGGAAAATCTCATCCCACCACATCCCCAACAGGATGGGGTGAAACTGCTGATGCACAGCCAGGAGCTCAGCCCTGCAGCAGAGCCGCTCGGCACAGGCACTGCCCTGCATGAAGTAAGGAGCTAAGTCCCACGCTGGGTGAACCTCATGGACAATTTAAGTCAGTGAATGAGTAAGCAGAAGTTATGTTCACAGCTGAAACCCCTGATGCACAGGGGTGATAGCAGCAGCATGCGAGTAGGGAGGACTGTGTTGAGAGCTCAGGCATCTGCCCTAGCATTCACTGTTGCAGGCATCAGAGCCTCGATCCAGCCCATGCTGCTTGTAGAGAGATGGTGCCACATGTCTCCCAGTCAACTCCCAAATTTGTTTTCTCAGTCATAAAAATTATGGCTGGGTGACAAGTTTCAGAGAAGGGGGGGAAAAAAAAAAAGTCCAACACACAGCAATACTCAGGAGCATTCAAGAGGATTTTAGCTGTATGAATTGAAACAGCCTGCCTGTTCAGACTGCTGAATGAATGACTGAGCTGGATGAAAACTTGGGCAGCAGGTCAGGAATGTGAAGCTGAAAGAGGCACTTGCTGCAGGTCTGCTTAGGCGGAGTATTCAGAGAGCTCCTGCACCCCTCCTCTCTATGCAGGGATGCCAGGGGAGCAGGGCTCAGTCATCACTGCCACCTGCCTTGCGAATTTTTCTTTTTCCATGCATGGCCTGAATGAGCCATCCACAAGCAGGGACACAGCCTCCACCTGCCTCTGGATGCCAATGACAGCAGCGACTGCGCATCTTCGCCAGGGAGAAACACGGAGCAGGAAACACATCCCGAGCAATGGTCTGCAGAGGTGTGGCAGCGGGGAGCTCTGCGCTGGCCCACACAGGCAGGAACAAGCAGAAATGTTTGCTGGGACACGGATCACACGTTAGCACCAAGAAGGCTGCTTTGTACCTCACAGGACTGTGCATCCCCTTGCCCACCCTCTCATCTCGACAACTCTTCAGGGAGAGCCCAGTGGGTAGCCCAGGGGAGGGTGGGCAAAGTGGTGCAAGGCACTGGCACTTGGGCACAGCCACAACTTCCAGCCAGCAGCTCCCAGGTAACCTGGGAAAATGACCTGAGGGACCAAGGACATGTGTCACACCACCAAACTCTGAACCTGGAGAGGTCCCAAAGGACATCCGTCCTCATGCTGGCTGGATCCTCCCTACCTAAACCAGGGCCTTCCAGTCTCATCCCTCCTCTCCGACACAGAAGCTGGGTTCACTTGAGCATGAAGAAGGCAAAAAGCAGTAACTGACCACCAGCTTCAGCAAGGCACACAGAGCCTACCCTCCCCCCAGTCAGCAGCACTGGCCGCAGCAGGAGGCAGCTCGCTAGGGAGCAGCAGGTAGGGAGGACCAGGGGCTGGCTGGAAGCAGTCTCACACCCACTTCTGGTTTAAGGCTGCCTTAAGCATGTTGTGAAGCCTCACCTAGAGCAAACCCAAAATGCTGGCAGTGTCACAGGCTGGGGAGCAGGATGCCTGGGGCAGCATGGGGCTCTTTCTTTCTTCCTTTCAACACAAGGCATTGACACTACACCTCTACTTCAATACAATGATTGCAGGGGAATTCAAAGCCCAAAGCAAAACAACTTCTCCAACCCTGGCAGCTCCGGGTGATACATGCTGCTTTCTGTGACATGTCTAACAATTTTGGTGAAGCCACACAGCACTTGCTGAGCAGCAGCAATTGGCTCCTGCTGCCTCATCAGACTGTTTGCAGTTAAACATGACAGCATTCAATGTTATTGTTATCAACAGTTATTTAGGGACGCAGCTCCATGAAGGTGGTGTTATCAGGTTCCTTCAGTGGGAAGTGCTCATGCTACAAGAATTACTGCAAGTGCCATGGGCCAAGGGGGCCTTGCAGAGCAACACACTGTCATCGTCAGGGAGCATCATGCAGCAGCCCTTATCACACCTGTCCTGGCTGAACATAGTCACATTATTTCACACCAAAAATAGTTGCATATTTTGCACCAAAAGAACCCCAATAATATTTTCCTTTCAAAAGGCATGTAACTGGCCTGACTCCCCCACAGGTATACTCAGGTTTGATCACAGCATCACTGCAGCCATCAGCCTCTGCTGGCTTGAAGAGATGGCAGATCCTGGGGACATCTCCCCATTTCCCAGCCTACTCAGTACATGGAAATGCTCATGTATTTGGAGAGGAGTTGCTGAGTCCAGAGAGCAGAAGGGAAGAGGCCAGCCATCTCCCACACTGCTTGCTGGCTGCTGGCTCATCCCACACACTGTATACCATGACAAGGCTCTTAAAATCACAAACTGAATTGAAACACTTTTGCTCACCTAAAAATCCCAACAGAGCCTGGAGCTGGTGATGGAGATGCACAAAGAGCAGAGTGGATATGCACAGACTGGGAGGAAAGACAAGGGGCTATGAGAAGCACCAACCCACCCAAGCCCCAAGGGAAACGAAGCAGCATAGCACTTTACAGACATGGTATCAGTATCATCATAACTAAACCAACAGCCTGTGCAAAGCTAACCATCTACCCACAGTTTTAAGAAGAGATTCTTAACATTAATTCCTGTAATTATAGCCCAATGAACTTGGGAAGGGTAAAGGAGTGAGCAATTTTTCAAGAGCCCTAATTTACAGACTTGATACACACCTCAGAGCATAGAGAAAAGTCAACAACAGTCATAACTCCACAGAGCGATGCTATCAGAAGTGCCTTTAGACTGAGATGCAAATACTCAGCCTCAGGTCAGACTAGTTCAGACTGCACTGGTTTCCTTGTCCTCCTGGGACACCTCCCTCTGTCATGTTGGTAGGACATGGGATGCTGAGGGGAGTAGCAAACAGCAGCTCTGACTGATCCTTTTCCCTGCAGGGAGCTCCACACACTTGCCAAAAGTGTTCAGAGTGGAGACATGCCTCTGCCCTCTCTCCATCCTCAGAAGGTCTTTAAACAAACTGGCCCATTCTGCCCCATTTCACTGTTACATAGCTCAGGAGCTTAAACACACTTTGTGTACCACAGTAACAGATCTTATCTATACTCTTCTTTCCAGACCGTTGAGTGACTAGCTCTGCTATGAGGACAGTGAACAGAAAAGGTGAAATGCTCCAAAACTCAGACTCTGTGCTTGCACAGATCAGGACTGGGGCAGACAGGCTTTGCCTTAGCCACAGTCAGATAAATGCCATGAGAGCCGTTACCTGGACCAAATGGGCACTCTTAAACAAGAGATTTTACTTTTTTGTTTCTTTGGTGGTAGATAAGAGAGTAAGATAAGTAATGAGAGTTCCAACACAGCCACTGAAATTAAAAGCTACACTACAGCAGCAGATACACAGCTCCCCATACAAGGCAACCTCAGCTCACATAAAACCAAGAGACAAGATTTCAAAGCAGCCCAATGCATGAAAGCATTTAAAACCCTCAGACAGCTTCTAAAACCACCACCACAGCATTTCTCCCTGGGAGGGGGAGGAAAGCAAACACACAGGACAGACTCCCAGGAGCCACAACTCAGCTTGAGTGATTTCCATGCAGCTGCTCGGCTACCACTGCTCTCCAGAATCACATTCTCCTAGAATTAAGTTATGGCACACTTTGGTATTAAAGTGGTTTGAAAAAAATCACTGTAGTTATGGTCTGCAATAAATCCTATGATATAATCTTGCTGTAGCAAATAGATTTTTTGCAGACCCAAGAAAACCCTGCACCCAGGCAGCATGGTCTCCCTCCATGCACGTTTGTTTTGGAGCATGAGCAGACGCTGCTGGAAGGCACAGAGAAGCTCTCCACTGCAGCACTGCAGCACTGGCAGCAGCATCCGAACCCAGCTGAAAAAAGGGAATTTGGTTACTTTGCCACAGCCTGGATGCCTTCAGTGATGCTGCCAGCAGCAGTGCCTGACCCAGAGCTTGGTTTCATCAGGGAACGGGGTGCTCACCCCATGGGAAACAGGCTGACACTTCAGTTGGACGACAGGCATGGCCATGCTGAGCCAGACCTGCTCAGCATGGTCAGGAGGGGAAGATCCTGCACCACCGACGGGCGCCAGCTCCCCACTGCTTGGTTCATCCCCACTCACCGCCATGTACGGCCGGCAGCCTGCATCCCGCGTTTTGGCAATGGAGTCCACAAGCTGTCCACTAATGCCGAAGTCACAGAGTTTAATATTTCCATTTCTGTCCAGAAGAATATTTGAAGGTTTGATATCTGCAAGTGAAAGAAATTTAAACCAGTAAGTCACAGCTGGAGGTTTCAGTTTCAAGAACAGCAGCTGCAGAAAATCAACACCGGCAGTGCCAGCCATTTTCCCTTGGTGCAGGGTGGGCAGGTGGTGATGGGATGCACTCACCGCTGCTGAGGATCCTGCCTGGGAGCAAGAGGAGATGGAGCCAGCCCCAAAGATGCCACGTGCCCAGAGGCAGACACCCAACCACCTTGAAGGTATGCTTTTATGGAAAACCACAGACCGAAGAGGCAATGGAACAGCCACTAGGGACACACTTGGGCAAAAATTGTACTCACACTCGCCACGGTACATGTGCAAACTACACTTTGACCTGAAGCAGAGACCACTTAAAATCCTTGCAATTATTTGTGTAGCCACGAAGAAAAGACATTAACTCACCTCTGTGGATGATTTTCAAGTTTTCTTTTAAGTGGTTTAGCGCTTTCACAGTCTAGGAAAGAAAAACAAATGAAAAATAAGCAAATGTTGTAAGTTTTGTGTATTAAACCTTTGGACCTTCAAGACACAGGGGCAAACTGTTTAGTATGTGAAGATATCAATGCTGTAATATCCTAATGTAATAAATGCATTTTCTCCCAATCTTTCCTGCAAACACAAAGTGATATGAGAGGACATGTGCTTAAGTAAACACATACCACTTGCTGTAACCTGGAAAGATCATGCTCTGGGACAGGGAAAGGAACTCTGCGAGAGGGGAGCAAGAGGTGACGTCAAGCAATTTCTCATGTTGATTGTCTTTAGTAATAACTTATTTCAAGCCATATGCTGTACTTTTTCAGTAGGTAACAACTGCTCCCATTCCACTGGCTGAGCAGTAGCAGTGTGGGGAGCAGCACAGGAGGCTATTCTGATTTAACCATTCACCACTAAATGGAAAAGACACTTACGGACCCTGATTTCACAGGCCGATTTTTAAAAAACCTTGAAAGTTCACCATTTTAATTAATTTCACTTTTGCTGAAAAGATCACTGAAACCAACAGCCAAAAGACCGCCTTGAAGCTGATGATGAGGGTGTTCATGTCATGCTGCAAAGTGGCTTGAATCTGTGTGACTGTGAGGATGAAGTCAAATACTGACGAATAACTCTCAAAAGACTGGTCTCTCCTGCTCATACAATCCCATGTTCAAGTGTTTAGGGAAGTAAAAGCTCCGGCAGGCTCTGTGGCAGCTGAAGTGCTGTCTCCTTGCTGCCCACCTTGCTCCTCTGGCGCAGGTTTCTTCTCCAATAGCAGAAGCTACAACATATCTCTGGACAACAAAGCATCAGCTGATTTTTAGGCAGACCCACAGTAGAATGAGACTGGATGGCCTCCTTGAACCTGAGCTTCAGCAAAAGAAAGCCTGATGGACTCAGTGACTGAATGTTGGTTTAAATGCCATCTAACCATGCCAGAAGTTCCTGCCCCAACCCTCAAGCAGAACCTCTCAGCTCTTTGACCTAGAGTAAAAGAGCTCTAACACAAGATGAAGGGTGGTTGGCAGAGCACACCGAGCTGTGAGCTGCAGCACTTACCCCACCTGCATGTGACGGGGCTACCGGGGCAGTGCACACAAACCTTCTGGACTTGGAGGCCCTCAAGATCTAAGATACTTAGGGGCAGTTTTCTTATACCAGTTATTAAATGCAATTTTTCATTTGTTTTCTAGAAGAAGGTAGACAGAAACAAACCTCAGACCACAACACCTAGTCAGAACCTGTCTTGGTTCCTAAAGCCAGCCTATGCAGAGGACGTCCCTCAGGGATGGCTGTGGCTGGACTGCCTTCAGGTGCAATGTGAAGGAAGGAGCAGTGTTGGACAGACAGCCCATGATCTCCTGCACAGCACAGATCCCCAGATCTGTTGTGGGCCATGGATCAGGAATAGAACATTTTAGCTTACTCAGTCCATCCCTCTCTTCCAGGTCAGAAACATCCAAGGTGGACATTTTCCTGCCTAGAACTTAAAGTTTTGGTGCGTTTTCACAGCATGCTGTCTGTACATGGTTAAGTAGAGAAACTCCTTTTGAGAGCTTCCAAACTCATCTCAAGTCTCTGTCCAAACTATCTTCATTGGGCAAACACCTTGCAAGGTCTGCCTGAGCCTATGGGCTGGTATGTCTCTAATACCCTGCAAAGCCTGGAATAAAGGATCTCCTTTTCTTCCCCCCACGGATTTACATACAAGTCCAAGCAGACTACCCTGGAAGGACAGACCTTATCCAGCCATCTCTCGTCTAATCTCAAACCCTGCTTTGGCAGTATAGTTGGTTGGTGGTGAGACAAGGAATTCCATGAGCTGCAAACAGCCATTGCCTGCTTTTGATAGGATTATCAGGCTTGGCTGTAAACACCTAAATGCATGACAATGTTAAGCTGTCAAGGCAGCCTGTTAGCTGTAAGAAGTAGCAGGTAGCTACTTCAGTAGCTGGTAGCAGGTCCAGGTAGGCCCAATATTTTATAAAAATTCCCCTAAGAAGGGTGAAGGTAGTTTATCTCCCAAGATCAGGCACTGAGCAGAATTTGCCTGTATCTTTTCAAGAGGTCATGGTTTGTGACTTGCTGATCATCCCTCCATTGCTCTGACAGCTTAGTACACCAGCTTACTACAGTACTCACGTGCTGAAGCCAATGTAGAGGCAGTTTGCCCATCTGTCACCAACAAAGCATGGCTTGTGTTCGATCACATTTCCCCCCACTACTCCCGAATGGTGTTTCACTTATGCACGCTTTCATCTTACAGCAGCCTCACTGAACCATTTAGTTTGGCTCAGCCTTGACTTCTTATTGGGCCAGGACCTCCAGATTAATTCAAGAAAACATCAACCATCTCCACCTTCTGAAGTCCTGCTTGTATTTTTGGGAGCCTTTGTACAAGGCTAATAAAGGTCTCTCTGGCCTGAGTGGCCCAACAGCCCCTGCAGAAAGCCAATGGACTTGATCTTTACAGGCAGCAGCAGCAAAAAGGTTTGGTGACACCTTTCAATACCCCTTCCTCCACAGCCCAAACCCAAAATTTTGTTTCGCGGGGCCAAAACTTGCCCTTGTGTTTAGACAACTAAGGCTTCATTTTAGCACAGACAAGGATAATTGTACAGCGCTCCCTAAAGGGAGACAGTGGGCTCTGTGTACCAGGGGTGCACTCAGATACCCTGGATGGGATTCATTTCACCACCTAAGGCTCCAAGAGATAGGAACTCAGCTCCCGTACAGAGATGCCAACCTCTCCCCGCTGACTCAAGAGAGAGGGCAGACCCTTACTCTTGAACAATTCAGTGCAGTTCACATGTCCTGGCTATAAACACTCAATCCCTTTTTCCCTTTGCAAACAAGAGAAGGGGAGACAGCTGATCTATTTTAGCCACCTTACTTAGGATGAGACCACCTGTGCCCAGTCTCCACTGATGCCACCACCCATCAGTGCACATGAAGCTATTCCTGAGGAGGGGACTGGTGCCTACACTGTCAGTGCTGATGTTCAAGCAGACAGAGCAAGAGTCTGGTCCTGGGGACTCTTCATGAACTGGTTAGAGACCCCAGGACCTGTTTTTCTGTCATGCAATATGCCATAGGAAAGTTAGAACATACTCAAGGATCATAAAAACCATGGTGACATACAACAGCAGCACTTCTGCTGCATGCAGATCAACCAGCTTTCTCACAGGTGAATTAAGAGATCTAAATTTTTCACACTAGCTTACACACTGACACAAAATAAGTTTAACAAAATACTCACAGCTAAAGTGATTTTTCCTAGAATTTCTTCTGGAATAACATCATCTAATACACTATATACATATTTGTAAAACTTATCAAACGAGGTAGACATGAGCTCCATACAGATCCAACAGTCACCCTGGAAAGAGAAAAGAATCTTTGTTACTGTCAAGCTAAAAGAAGAAAAAAAAAATCCAGAAAGTATCCCTTGAATCTAATAATATACATTAACAGCAACATGCATTTGACAGGAAGGATGCAATTGATCTTGATTATCTTTAGGAATGAAAGACTCGCCCCCATACGCACCTCTCCTCCACTCCATTCACCAGCAGAGGAAATCTAGCTGACCAGCTCAGACTGACTTGATATTACATTTTAGATGCCTGAACCTAGATGAATCCACATCTCAAAAACTGGTTCTCCAGAAGGCAGCAGGCACAATGAGACATGAGCATGCACAATAAGACTAAAAATCCCTTCAGTTTATGACTAACCTGCAGAGGACAGAACACATTTCACACAACATTGAGAGACAGCAACTAACCAAGAGGAAATGAAAATAAACTCAAATGTGTAGGGGGTTTTGTTGATTTGCATCTTGCAGTGAAACAATTTAAACGCAGAAAATTGCAAACCATACTAGTATCTGTGTTAAGCCAAGCTAAACCTAGCTATTATAAGAGAATAGTATGTCTTTGTATCAAACTGACTCCCGAGATCTGTAAATCTACCCATTCACAATGGATTTGCTGGGGATGAGAAATGGACCCCCAGCATCCCGAAGGACTTCATCTTTTGTTTTAGTATGTATCTACCATATGGTAATGGACAGCTTACCCATGGGTTGATTTTAGTTATTTTCGTTTTTCTGAACATTTTATCTCCTGTTGAGGATGACAGAAGGCTTTGCATGAGCTCTTACTGTAGACTCTTATCTACTTCAGGCAACTCTGCACTGCTAGAAATACTAGAACATTAGCACTAGACCTGTCCTTACCAGAAATGGCATACTCATACCTATCTTCTACAGGCTGTATCACATTAAAACTGCATTAGCTGTCAAAAGTTAAGTGCAGAATGGAGGAGTTCATTTGAATGTCTCATCCTGGCTAAATACCACCCAAAAACACTTGTAAAAGGAGCAGCAGCTTGTGTAGGTAATGCTATCCTGGGCTGCCTGCGTGGTTCAGAACACAGGATGTCTGTCTGGTTATGCCTAAGCTGCGCACTCCTATAAGAAGCAACAAATAGAGGAGGAACTTCGCCAGGGAATTGTCCTACAGAAGGTAGATTTTTTCCAAGCAGACAAGACACAAATGAGCCAAACATTGGCTCATACATGGTTAATACATGGAAATAAAATTGGGAAAAAACCCTTTATCATGGACATGCTGGAGGTATAGCAAAGACCTGCACTCCAATCCTGCACACCCAAATGTCTTCTGTTTGAAGCAATCTCCCAGTGCTCATGAGAGCCAGGAGCAACTCTTGAGTTATATTTAGATAATGGAAAAGCTTGTAGAGCCAGAGGTTTTAATGCCAAAAGGGCTTTTCTGCCACTCAGAATGACCGCCTGTGAAACACAAGCCAAGGAACTGCATCTGCCAAGATGCCTCCAGCCCAAATGCTTGGTTTAGCAGGAACCGAAACGACCAGCAAAGGTGGTGTCAAACAATGCACACCAGTACCAGCAGAGGCAGCGGTGCTACCCAGCTTGGTCTTGGGCTGCACACACACATGCAGCAATATAGACAGCAAACTGGAAGTATCCCACTGCCACCAGTGTTACAGGTGCTGCTGCTTCAGTGACAGGAAATCCATCACCGTCTCCTGTCAAAGGAGGGATTCTGCATCTCAGAGGAAAGGAGGAAGGATTGGATAGGACAGGATAAGGATAGGATAGGATAAGATGTTTCAGTTGGAACAATCATCTAGTCCAACTGCCTGACCACTTCAGGGCTGACCAAAAGTTAAGCATGTTGTTAAGGGCATTGCCCAAAGGCCTCTCAAACACTGACAGGCATTGGGTATCGACCACCTCTCCAGGAAGCCTGTTCCTGTGTTTGACCACACTCTCGGTAAAGAAATGCTTCCTCATGTCTAAACCTCCCCCGGTGCAGCTCTGAACCATTCCCATGTTTCCTGCCACTGGATCCCAGGGGGAAGAGATCAGCACCTCCCTCTCCACAGCCCCTCCTCAGGAAGCTGCACAGAGCCATGATGTCACCCCTCAGCCTCCTCTTCTCCAAACCAGATAATCCCAGAGTCCTCAGCCGCTCCTCACAGGACATGCCTTCCAGCACTGCCACCACCTTTGTTGCCTTCCTCTGGATGCAGTCAAGGACCTTCACATCCTTCTCAAATGGTGGGGCCCAGAACTGCACACAGTGTTCAAGATGAGGCTGAACCAATGCTGAATACAGCATGCTAGTCACCATCTTAGCGGCTTTCCTAGGAAGGGCTGAGCTGCCAGTGGGGAAGGTGGCTGCGGGTTGAGAGCCATGGGCAGCTCCATTTTATGCTGCTCATTTGGCACCAGGACTTTTACATCAGCACAAGGCAAAGTTGGAGCTAATTTCACTCACCCAAGCTAAATGGCTTCTACAAGCCTGAGCCCAGAAAACATGTATTTCACCCAAAACAAAGCAGAAGGGACTGATAGAAAAGGTGCTGACACCATGGTGAAAGAGGTAAGTGCAGCACAGCCAGAAGAGGGTACAACCAGCATTTCAGAAGGCATGGAGAAAGATGAGCTCAGGCTGCGAGAGAACAAAAGATCAGCTATAGATGAATTTGGATGAGGACCTGTTCACACTTAAACTGCAGAAATTAAATTAGGCAACACATGCAGAAAATTCCCCTTTTCAGCACTGGCAACAAATGCAAAGTGTGGTTGAGGCACTTCCATATTATCAAGAATGGCTCACAGAAAGCAACATGGATCCAGCACTGGTGATACGTTTAAATCAAGTGAAATCAAAACCAGGAACATGCAAGGTCTCTGTAGTGAAAGCAAACATGGACACTTCTAGTGGCTGCAGGATCATTCAAAACATTGTTTAATAGTTACTGCACTGTATTCCCATGTTATTGTACTGAGACTGCAGGGGATTGGATTTGTTCAGGAATAACACAATATTACTGACCGCCTGCAGCCTTGTACTTTGAGTGTCTTCAGTCGCCCAGGCTACAACAGCTGGTGTTTGTGCAGCAAAAGCAAACTGAAGTGAAACAACAGGCAACCCTATTAGGTTGGGATGCATGTGTTACTGAACCCTCAAAAAAGTACAGTAAATTGTTATGCAATGGTAATTTAAGCATAAAAACCCCCAAACCTGTACATGATCAAAAGCACCAGGAAAGACTTGGCTTATTTGGTCTCTGAAGTATGTACCATACAGAAATTCTGGATGCGGACATTCATTGATCTGGTAATATAAAAGTCTACTCGATGAACATGAATTCATGTCAACAAGATCAATGGAAAAAGATTACAGACCTTTGCAATCATGCAGGTTCATTAAGGCCGGTGACAAGATTCAGAACTCTACAGGTTCTTATCTCTTTCTGCGACTTGAAAGGACTTACCTATTGGCAAAGTTGATAAACTTCACTGAGAACAAAAAGGATGACCTGCACGGAGTACAGGTCACCCAGCTTCCTTTCTGATCAAATATGAAAGAAGTGCTGATATGCAGGATGTGATGTACTATTTGGACATGGTCCTGAGCAAGCAGCGCTAGATGGCGCAGCTTGAGCATGGGAGTTGGACATGGTGACCTCCAGAGGTCCCTTCCAACACTCCCCATTCTGTGATGTGGTGATACACATACTGAAGGCCTATCCCATTAGTGTACTGCAGGGACTGGCCAGCTGTTCATGCAAGCTGCATCTACACTAGAGAGAAAAAGAAGAATGTCATAATTCTCACATATCCTTATGGGACACAGAGAACACTTTTCCTATAGACCAGAGACTAATCACAGGGACAGATGTCTTGAGTAATGCCAACACAGTCAAGGACTTCCATAGAAATAGGGTGATGTGCACCAATAACAGAGAGAGCAAATAACTTCTATCAGCTAACCAAGGATATGTTCATCATTCACACCGATGTCAGCAGTGTAATACTGACACACCCATACTAGCCCCCTCTTGTACCAGCAGAAGCCCCCTACATGTTAATTTACCTGGCTTCCCAGGCATGTTCTGCAGCTTTCAGTGAATAATTTTATCAACTATTGAACTTGGTTAAAACTTGGCTTGGCTACACTCGCACTGTGTAGGAGTCACTGCTGAGATCCCAAGTCAGACAAGGCATTTTTCCTCTTCTCAAGAAGTAACAGGAACAGTTTGAAAGAGCAGTTAGTGTGGACATAATAACTAACCAAATGTTCCCAGGCTTACAAGTACTGTCTCAAACTAGTTTAGCCATAAAGCTTCCTTTTTTGTTTGCCTCAGACCTAAAAACCCTCCAAACAGCAACCACTTGGGGCAAAAGTTTCAGGGTTGCTGACTGCAGTATGGCTCAGCACAACCTCCTTTCTTCTCACTAAAAGTGAGAACTGACTCCAGTGAAATCTTTGCAGAAATCCTAGCAATCATCTTCTTTTCTACCCCACCAAGCAAGTACTACTGAGAAGTAACAGACAGACATGATTAACCAGATGCTCTTCATTACAGCATCTCTGCTTACTGGCATGGAAAGTTCTGTGTGCATTTACAGGAGTCAGGGCTCTCAATGGCACAGTATGGAGAAACCACCTGGCTTCATGGGGCCAGGATGAACCTCACGGAGTTCAGCAAGTGCAAGATCCTGCACCTGGATCATGGCAATCACTAGTAGAAGGACTGGGGGATGAATGGATTGAGAGCAGCCCTGCAGGGAAGGACCTGGGGATATTGGTGGATGAAAAACTGGACACAAGCTGGTAACTCGCACTTGCAGCCCAGAAAGCCAACCGTCTCCTGGGCTGCGTAACAAGAACATTGTGGCCAACAGGTCAAGGAGGGCGATTCTCTCTCTCTCTTCTACTCTCATGAGAACCCTCCGAAGCACTGCATCCAGCTTTTGGGTCCCCAGCACAGGAAAGACATAGAACTGTTGGAGCGAGTCCAGAGGAGGCCACAAAGATGCTCAGAGGGCTGGAGCCCCTCTGCTATGGGACAGGCCGAGAGTTGGGCCTGTTCAGCCTGGACATGAGAAGGCTCTTGGAAGACCATACCACAGCCTTTCAATTTATAAAGAAGGCGTATAAAGAAAGATGGAGAATAACTTTTTACCAAGGCCTGTAGCAACAGGACACAGGGCAAACGTTTTAAACTAAAGAAGGTAGATTCTGCTTGGCTATAAGGGAGACATTTTGTAAGATGAGGCTGGTGAGATGCTGCAACAGATTGGCCCAGAATTTGCGAATGCTCTGTCATTAGTAGTATTCAAGCTCAGGTTGTAGAGGGCTTTAAGCAACCTGATTTAGTTAGTAGTAGAGGGGGCTGGACTACATGATCTCTGAGGGGCCCTTCCAACCCAAACCATTCTATGATTTTATGATTAGTCAGCCACTAAACTCTTTGTATAGCCAGTATAACCAGGAATATAGCCAGTGGTGTGTCTACCCCGTTTGCACTATCTTCCAGGCCTTTCTCTTTCTGATCCTCTCCATTCTCCAGTCTTTACTAGACACAACTTTCTTCTCTCTTCTGTTAAGCAGTCAGCCTGTGGACACAAAAACTGTTTCAATTGCCACATATCAGAATGCCAGTGCTCTGGGATTCTTTCTGTTATTGGGGGGGAAAAAAGTTGACTTTTTTCTACCTAGGATTGTTAGAGAACCATTAATAGAGCAGTCCACTCAGCAGCTGCACTGGCAGGATGCTGTAACATCATGGGGAGGGGCAAGACAGTGAAGACAGTGATGTGAAGGTCAAAGCTTTACCAAGAACAGGAGTGAGCAGAGCACTGTCCCATGGAGGACCTGACTCCAGCACACACACTATCTGGCATCAGTGCAGTGAAGCCCCTTACTCCATGCAAAGGCTGAGACACTGTATTCTACTTTTTCAGCTTTGTTCCTGTTTCATTAAAGAGGCAATTTAATCTCATCTAATGGGTGCTGATAAACTCATGCAAAGTCCTGTACCCAGCACTAAACTTGTAGTTTTAGCATTGTTACACATCACATTATACTGATACATACATAACAGAAGGACGTCCCATATGATTAAAGAACAAGAAGCAAATAATGTGCTAAGATGCTGCCTGCTGAGGATCAAGCAGGACCAGTTCCCAGAGAAGACTTTCCCTATCAGAAAATGCTTGCTGAACAAGTGAGACAGAATACAACTAGGGAAAAAGTATGTGTAGTATTTCTGCTGTTTGAAAACAAATTTTTCAAACTCTTAGAGGCTGCCACAGTAACTTACCTGTTTACAGTTACTTTCCTGATTGCAAGCTGCGATACTTGTCTGTCTTCAAAATAAGACCTTTAACAGTTTAGTCCAATTTCATTTGGCATACCCACTCCCCAAACTGTCAGGATTCAAGAGCTTAGCTCTGCTTCTCTGCATCAACAGCCTATTCTTCTGGAAAGGCCACCTGCCTTTCAAAACAGACCAGCTGCCCTGCTGCAGTTCCTGAAGCTGCTATAATCCTGCCAATCATCTGATCCCAAAAGCCACCTACTCAACATTTAAGCTCCTTTATAGAGGCTCAGATTGAAGTCTTTCACCTTTTAGGAGCAGGCATAAGAAGTCTTCCCATCTGTAGTTCCATCCATCCCCAGAGAATCCGAATTCTGGCTCAGAGCAGGTGGTCCCAAGAAGATCTGTCTTTTGGAACTTTTTTCCTTACTTTTCCCCTTAAAACACTGAAACAAAGAGCTTTGTTTATACATGCTTTGCTGTAAGACTTGCTGAGAGAGGTTCAGTCTTTTGCAAAGTCCCATGAGCTCTTTTATCTTTTAGTCCAGGGTGCAGCAGTAACCTGGATTGTTCACAGTTATTTGGGGACAGATTTGCTAAGTAGAGTGGGGGGATAAGCTGGATTCAAACATACTGGTGAAATTATTTTTTTCCTTTTCCTGTGCTTCTCTGCTGTCATAGTTTCCTAGCTTTAAAAGACATAATTGATATTAGAACATGTCATTAATATGACAAGACAGAAAACCTTGTCCAAGCATACCAGCTTACACTGTGCACCTGAGATACGTGACTTGGAACATTACCTTGGCAGTAAGGGATCGAGCAGAGGGGAAGGTTGCTTTCATTTCCGAAGCAAATACCACTGATGGGTGGGATTAAAAGGGGATTCCAGGGACCAACACAATACAACCCAGAGTAACCTTACGGAAACCTTTCCCAGATGGATCATGCAAGGAGCCTTGCCTAGCTGCAGAGCGGCAGGATTTTTGGACAAAAGGGTGCAGCAGAAGGCAGGCTGACATCTGGTTACTGATCAAGGTAGGTTTTTATACTGTTTATGTATTTATACTTACACGCTGAGATGTGCCTAGTGCTGCACAGAGGTGACAGGTGTGCACACTCTGAACATGTCGCTTATCAGCATCTGGCAAGACACTGTACTGTCCAGAGACTTTTCTTCACACCACCTGACAGCCGTATCATTTGTATTTCAGCAAAGCTGGAAATTTTCAGCCATGGTAAGGCTTCATACTTGGTAGGAGCTTGTATTGTGTGAACATGGACAACACCTCTTGGCCCAAAATGGCTTTGTGTTTAAACAGACAAGAAAAAGCACAGGGATGGGAAAAGGAAGGATTATTATCCTTATTTTAGAGACTGAGATTTAAAGCCAGAGGAGTGATCTGGCAAAATTATAGAGGCACACTCTCTAGAAGCAGGAATTGAATATTCAGTCTCAGTTTTGGGCTTTAACTACAACACTGACCTTCTTTCTCTAACAGTTCCCCAGTAAAGCCCCACAAGACTGTACAGGCTGCTATGCCCGATACTATACAAAGATGACTAGCAGCCAGTAGGTCTCTGTCTTCCTTCTTCTGGTGAGTAGATGTGCTGTATTTGTGCTGAAGTAGTGGAAAACAGGCAAGGCTACATGTCTATCCCTCTATACTGTGTCAGCTTCAACACCAGAGCAATTACAGGAGAAGGAATAATACACACCTGCAGAAAAGCTGCAGTAGCTAGCTGCTGCTCTCTGGAGGAAGAAGACACAGTAGTCAGGTTTTGACATTCATCTTCTCCAAACTCTTGTTCTTGCAAATCGACCAAATGCTTGCAAACGCATGATGCTCACCTGAGCTACATTATTCTTCTTGTGCCTGTACTGAGCAGACTCAGGTCAGCCTGATGACTGGCTTCCAACCATGGCATACGTCTGCCCAGGCTGCATGGAAAAGGCCAGCTTCCCTAGTGTTTTTATTGGCCATTCGAAACTGGATAGCAATGGAAGTGCCTGGGCAAAGCGCAAGGAGATAGGAGGATACCTTCTCTGGCCTTCCAGCGTATTAACCTACCTTTAAATCAGAACAAGTAAATGCTAAAACAGTCACAAACATGCAGCGATTAATATCATATTCCTGGCCATGATCAGGTAAAGTATGTCAGGATTAAACAGTGGTCAGCTGACAATGCTTTCAATGGTCTAATTCTGTTCATCACTTGGAAGCACTCACGGAAGTGTCACGTTGAATAACCCACTCCACAGCACATGATATCTATGTGCATAAAAGGGCAAAGCTAAATTACAGCCCCTAGACTAGCTATTGCAGGTATTGCTCCTTTCAAGAACAGTGATGTAATTTTGGTCTCTGTCCCAAAAGAATGGAGTAGAACTGGAAAAGATGCAGAAAACCGCAAGAAAGATGTAAAAGGCCTGGAAGGGGTTCCATGTATGACACACACCAGTGCTTATCAGGCTAGGTAAGACACGACAGAGGGGGAATATGGCAACTCTCCATAACATCCTCAGTGGCCTCGGGAAGATGGATAAAGATCAACTGTTTATTGCCTCTTCAAATACAAAAAACAGGGGAACCAGTTAGGGGCATCACTAAAAACAGCAGGATGAAAATCCGAAGTGAATCAAACAAGGGGTTGACAAGCAAGTCAAGTGCTTCTCAGGGAGCACCATGGATGCAAAACACATACATGTACTCAAGGGGAAACCGAACACTTTCACGGAAAAGAAATTCAGTACGAATCACTCAGCAGAAAGACAGCACATCTAGATCAGAAGCCACGGCTGCATATTACTGAAAGCTATAGCAAACCATCACACACACTTCTGCAAGCAGATCCTGTGGGCCACTGCCAGAGACAGAACATCACACTAGGAGTTTTGGCCTGACCCAGCATGACTACCCTTGTTTTCTTATGTATCTGCAGGTACAAACCACTTCAAGGCAGATGCATGTCAATTTGGGCTCTGGCACAGCCTAGCTATCTGCATGCATACATCAGACAACCTTATGGGGAGCTGTGACTACTATCACAGCAATCACCTTCTTACAGGGATACAGGTCCTCCACATAGTTGCATCTCACAACCACTAACATAAACCATGTTTGTGCCCAAGCACTGTGCTGCAGAGCTGCAGCCTGGCAGCACACACTCTGCGTGTGGGAGCCACAGACCCAGAGCTCATCAAGAAAGAAGAAATGCAGGAAAGAAGGAGAGATTGAAAGACGCAGAGATACATAAAATGAATGGGAATAGCATGTACGTGCTCAGCAGCACCCAGACATCTGGGTCTCCTGGTTAAATATCCTTGATTAAAAGTGGAGAACTAAGAAATCTAAAGTAAATTAACTTTCTTTTCCTTATTTCAAGATGGAAGCTGCAAAGAAAAAAAAAAGGTAAAAATCAAACTACTATGAATGAAGCAAGTTTGGAGTGCCCACCTCTCTGAAGAGCGCGCCATAAAACTGAACAATATACGGGCAGTCACTGCTTCGCATTACTACATCAAGGTCCATCAGAAGCTGCTTCTGTTCTTTTTCATCCACTGTCGACCGAATTCTCTGAAAGAGGGAGAGTGGCAGAGACTGTATCACTTACGTGCCATTACTGTATCCTCAGACCCGCTTTTGGAGAAACATACCAGGGACCCCAAACCCAAGGCTGATCAGATAATCCCCAAGGCATGCTCAAGCACACTCTAGAGAATTAAGTTGTGTTCTCAAGTAAGAAATACAACTGAAAACTCCTAAAGCCATTTAATTCAGACTATAAAATCCACAGTCCTCTCATGAGCATCAACATGTTCAGATAAAATGTGAAAAAGAAATTAAAGAGCAGATTTCATTTAAAACTACAGCAAAATAACGTATTCGAGCTTTCATTTCAAAACAAATTCCCAGTTAGTTCTTGGCCATGTTGGATGGGGCTCAAAGGCTATTTTGAAATGTAACCAAGGAACATTATATTTCAAATTTCTAAGACATCAGTCTTCTTACACTATGCTTCCACCATGGCTGGCATGGTGAAAAAGGACCATCGTATAACCAAAGGAACACTTTGCTCTGGTAATGCTAACGGTGAGCAACAATTCTGTAAGCTCCTATCATAAAATTAACAATTCTTTACCTACCACTGGCCATGGAACATTAACACTATATAAAAGATAATGTATATATATAAATATATATACTATGTGTATATAAAGAGATTTATGTATACACATACTATACTTCATATACACTACATATAAAGAAAAGTCTCATTTAGACTTGAAAGAACAACATAAGTTTGAAAACAGAAAACTGTACATGTTCAAATATGAAGCTTGTTAAATGAAGGATGGAGAAGATCGTTCACAGTTTTTCATGTGATTTTACAGACATATTTAACATATTGCACTAATTAACGCATTCCCCGAATCACAGGTGAGGAAAATTGTAATGCTGAAGATGTGACTCGTTGAAAAATTGTTTAAAAAGCAAGCAAAAAATATTTGGCAAAAAGTCCAAAGCAAAAGAGGTAGCCTGGACCCTCCCTGACAAGAAAAACTACTCAGCTATCCAAGAAAGAAAAATAATTCACGTTTGTGGGAAAAACCTGCAAGACACCAGCAACCTCTCCCACCAACACTACTGCCCTGTGAACAACTGCTGGTGGCATCAAGACCACTCAGCAAGCACAAGGCTAAAGTATATGAACGTACTTTCAAGGCTGGCCATTCATATTGCACCATTTGAGATACAATGGATGATTATGTACCTTAAGGCTACCTTGTGATGATTCACACAAAATGAGGACAGTATTGACACTATAATTTTCCTTACCTTTGTTGTATCCTGATATTTTGGTATTTCACCACTCGTAGCTCTAGTTTGGCCCAGACCAATAACTGTCATGTTCATATTGCCCTTCTCCCTCCCAGTGAATTTTAGAATACTGGGGAAACTGTCAAGAGACTTGCCCAGCACACCCACAATCTAACATGCACACCCTGTGATGCCACTAAGTGGGTGGGATTTCATAGCAACAGGCAGAACAAGATGGCTCAGTGATTAGTACTCAAACTAAAAAGCTTCACCTCTAGGTCACTGGTTCAACTATGTTTCACAGGAGTTCAGACACACCACTGAAGAAAGCCTGAGAAGTAATTATTTCTTTGTCCTGCATCTACACCATTTAACGCTCCACAACCCTCTGCTGAGACATCAAAGGCTGACCAGATAGAATGTCTCTTTCTAGGTGGCACCCCACCAGCACTGCATGAAATGGTAATTGTAACTGACATCTCCCTTCTGTGCCAACTCAGTATCTTGTCTCCAAAAAGCTCCCTTCCTGGTCATCTGGGCATCTTCCCAGCCCCACTCTGCATTCTCCTTGCATCTGCACAATCCTGTCACAGTCATCCCCACAGAGTGTGCCTCAACTCCACAACTTCCCCTGAAACCATGTCCTCCCACCTCTGACATTTCCTTCTCTGCTGTTACTTCTCCAACTCTGCAAAGCATGTGAAATATATGTTGTATGGAGGAGGTGATTTTAACAGCACCTCAGAATGACACCAAGCCCCAAGATTCCTCCTTTCCCCCAACCCAATCCCCTAGGGAGAAAGCGAAAGAGCAGGCAGAGGACCCAGAAGACAGACGGTGGGTTGACTACAGGGCAGAGGATCCAGGAAGACATGGGACCCGAAGGGCACCTTCAGAAGCCAGCATGGACTCCCCAACAAATATTGCTTCAGGGAGTGAAGGTAACGACATGATGCAAGCCTGGGAGGTCACACACAAGAGTGCTGAAGACTGGAGACTGGCAAATTCAAGAGAAGGTGAAAACTATCAGGAGCAACATGTGGGACAGCACTGAGCTCAGATCAGCCCAGTCAGGAAAAGGTGGCTTTGTTTAGCTGGAGCCCACCAGGGATTCTGTTTCAGGTCAGCAGTCCCAATTCACCAGCTACGGAACAAGTGTTCACCAGTGAAACAAGGAAGAAGCAGCAAAAGGGGACTGATGCCAGTATCTAAACAGCACATAAACCGTAATGATGATCTGCTACCTAAATCCAAGAAAGGATGAAAGAGACTGCAGCAGCTATCACAGACAGACTCCCCAAGAACACAGGAGATGTCAGGGAAGGAAGACATGAGGCAAGGCAACAGTCTGAAGACACCATTCAAGACAAAGATGGACAGGTCTGACACCTCAGAATGGTCACTCTACTGCATGTAGTCACTGACATGGCCAAACAAGCTACATACAGAAAAGGTGGGGTTTGCAGTAGAGGCTTAAGGAAAATCTCTTTTTCAATGGTTTATTGTTAGCCTCAAACAGACTGCATCAAATCCTCCAGCCCTTTTAATACAAACACAGCCTAGGACAAAGCCTTCTGATATCAGGAACAAGAGCTCTGAAAGCTATGCCCTGGGCAGCTTCAACAGCAAAAGGTTAAGCTATACTGTGGACTGGACCACTCTCAAACCTAAAACCAGACAGACCCCAGAAATCAGACCCAAAACAGGAGAGACATCACCCAGCCCCAATTCACACACAAAAGGATTCAGGTGCAGTGGGTAGCAACCAGATAAAAAAAGAAAAGGAAAGAAAAGGAAAGAAAAAAAGCGCTATAAGCACCAAACTGAAAACAAACCCCTTGAGATGCGAGACAACACAGTGCTGTTCTGTGTCGAGGGCTCACACGTGTCCACAGCAGAAAGCACAGCACAGCAGTTCTTGATGGTGCCCCCAGAGGACTGGTGGCTCCATGGGGATGGCTGGGACTGAAGACACCAAGTTAGCAGGAAGAAGGGGGTTTGCCCACTTGCTGCTGAGGATGAGAATATTTATCTACCCATCCAAAACACACTTACTGCTGACTGAACTATGTCAGGTCTTCCACCGATCACAACTAGTTTCCCACCTCCTATAACAAGGTTCTTGCTCCCTCTCCATATTTTCTTTTATCCCTGACTCAATCGCTCCTTTCCCAGTGTACTACCAGCAGTGCTTGGAGCACTAGTTTCCCTAACAGCCAGCTACCCAAACAGATGAGTGAAACAGAAAATTCTGCTCAATAAACCGCAAGGAGTCACAGCTTGGCAGAGGGTACCTAACAGTGTGAAGAACATAATTTATGTTTTGTATTAAAGCCAGCTTGCAAAAAATCCCAAGATTTCTCTTCAGAGGTTGCATGGGAAATCAGAAGGACAGAGAAATTTGCCCCTTAACTGATCTTAACATGTTTAATGTGTTGTTTTGGTGGGCTTTTCCGGGCTATCAGGCATCCATGTAAGTATGAAGAGATTATGAGAGGTATAAATGAATGTTAAATTTCTGCTCTCGTGGATATCTGATACTTAGCAACCTATTTCAGCTGTGAGGCTGCCATCAGAGAAAACCTGGGAAAGCCAAAGACATGAACATCTGTTTTAAAGCTATGGATGACAGAAGAAGCACTGACTACAAAGCAAAACAATACAAAAGCAGCACTGTCCTCTGAACAAGAAATGGCTCCACAGGTTATTGGTTTCTCCAGAAGAACAGGGATCTTTTATGGACACCTCATAGGCCTGATATCCTACTGAATTTTATGTATCTCTAACCAGTGCCTTGGCCAGCTTCTCCAATTACCCAGTTGATTTTGAAATTGTCCCTGATTTTCTTATGAGGAGTTTAGAGCAGAAGTGGATCACTACCTGTAGTCTGGTCAAAAATACTGCTAGACAACAAGAGAAAACAAGAAACCAGCAACACTATCTGAGAATGCTGGCTGGAACTGGAGACTATCTAGGCAATATTGCAGAGCAGGACTAAATTAGCTAGGCTGATTTATACAACAGATATGGGAAGATAGAGAAAATTCTGGAATACAGCTGAAAATTGCTACATCTTTTGGGGTGAGAGAAAACCAAAAAGAAGGACTGCGGACAAAAATACCCCCTCCCTAGCTGGCTTACTCTCCTACCTGTAACTATTTTGGACAGAAAAATAATTCCATTAAAAAGAGGTGCAAGATGTTTACATGGGGCCATGGTAAGAAGTTTGAAGGTCAACTGAAGCACAAACCACTTTACTTGCCTCTTGATGGTATATTTTTCAGCCAGTTGAACTTGCTTAAAAAAAAACTGGCAGAAGCTCCCTGCTGCAGGACAGAAAGTGCCTGCCTGGCACCCAGGGCTAGGGGGCTAAAGGGGAGAGGAGTGGGAAGTGAGGGCTCCCTGCAGTCTTGGGACATCACTGCCATGCTCATGCTCCTGATCCACACAGGCACCACCTAACAGATTAAAGGTTGTCTATTTTAAATATTTGCTTGTTTACCTTGTGAACCCTTCCAACAGGGGACTTTCCTAGCCTTCAAAAAGCCTTTTTAAGTACCCTGGATAATAAAACCCACACCAGGTATATATAATATGCAGTATTTAAGTAAAAAGCTGAGTCTCCTGCTCCAACATGGAGAACACTCCCCAGCTTTCATTCCAGTTTGGGCTTTTTTTCATTTATGTATTTTTATACCAGTCTGGAAAAACCAAGTATGCCAAAGATCATTTAAAGTACTCTCTCTTTTTTTCTGATGAACTACCACCAGTGCCAGAGGGAAACCTCAGGACACAAAGGAACACCCCAGCTGCTGTGTGAGCTTAAAACCAATTCACTGAAATAAAACAGGGCTTCTCTACGGTTCCTCCGATGTGTCAGAGACAGTCCTGTTCCTCAGATTTGTGGTACCATCATGCAACAAGATGCACAACCCCCTGGAGCAGCTGGGACAACAATGAATAGTAAAGCTGGTGGGCAAATACAAAAGGGAGCTGTAGAACAGCACATGCCGTGAAGCCTCTGGGATAAAACCAGGAGTGACAGCAGTACAGCAGATCCCGAGAAGGGATCTCCTCAGAGCAAAGAAGCTGGGGAGATTATTCACAAGCCACTTACGAACTGCCACAGACTGGGCAAACAGACTAAAGAGAAACAAGAATCTAGAAGCAAAATCAAAGGACACTGGGTGGAACTGGAAGCCAGACCAGGCAATATAAAAGAGAGCTGGTGCTGCAGGTAAATGCCAGCCAGGGCAGGGACTTCCTTAAGGAAGATGAGGAGCCCAGAAGAGAAACCTGCCAAGGAAGTGAGGAGTTAACATACAAACTCACCTTACAACTGTGAATTTGCAGACAAAGCTGGCATTAAACAAAATTGGGCTCTTTTCTTTCCCACCTTGAAGTGTTGTGACCTCATGTGCTAATAAATCCTCAAAAAAATGAATAGCATTTTTTTTTTTAGCGAGAGGAAAACCACAATGCCAGCTGACCCAGACCGAACAGGGACTTTGCAGCTCTAGGAAGAGCTGAGAGAGGAAGGAGCCTAACAAATAAGAGGTTTGTCTTTTATTAAGATTTGGAAAACATAATACAACATTCCCCAGGGGCAAAAAATGAGAGGTTTGAATACAAATCCTCTGAGTTGGACTCCTCTTTCCTCTATCACGTCTCCCTTTACCTGATGGCTCTAGCAAGAGGTTCTCTATGGCAGAACAGGTAAGGGATGCAAAAGTATTGTGTCAAAGACCCGTCTACCTCCAAAACCAACCTGCTGCAGCTGGCAGCCTCACAGACGTGAGGTCCCTGTTCCTGCAGGCAACTCCAGCCTGTTCATGAAGAGGCACACTAATGTTTTTTTGTTATTTAAGTAGATATTCATAGTGGTACAGAATGACAAAAACTGGAGGAAGGAGCAGGACTGGGGACAAGAGCTCATCATCCAAGCCTCTCCTCAACAATGGCCCACCAGCCAAAGCTTTGCTGCAGTGGTCTCATGCCAGTGACAGGATGAGGCTCATTTTCCTACTTCGTGTCTGATGCCCGAGTACAGATGAAACCTTTCTGACTCACGCAGAGGCCTGGTAGCCCTGCCCATGACAGCAGCTAGACACCCTCAATAAAAGTGCCAGGATTGTATCTGCCAGGATTCATATATTGGCTGATGAGGCAAAATGCATATAAGAGAAAAATGAACGAAAATGGTGCCACCACAGCAAGATCTCAAGTTATTTCGGGGATATTCCAGCACTCCAGAATCTTTCCCCTGCACTGGTATGAAATGTAGACAGGAAGAGTACAAAAAGGCCGTACTCAGGGGCAGCGGGAGCTGGTGTGCTCTGCAGCACTAGAGTTACATGCACAAGAGGGGAGAAAGCAGAAGGCTAAGCTAAACCATGCCTCAAGGAAACAAAGACTGTTCTTTGTGCATGACAGGCTAGAAAAACCCAGAGGAAGGAACAGGAAACAGGGTTTGAGGACATACTCCAGCAGCCGCATGTGGCAGGCTTAAAGGTGAGCAGGATGAGTGCCCAGAGGTGCCAGGCTGCCTTGGTGTATCAGGAGCTGGGATCAGCCAGAGGAAGACTCCAGACTGGGGTAAAGAGCAATGTCTCACCCACTCTTTATAATATAACTGCGGCGTGCTTGTAGAATAAAGAGGAATTGAATCTGTCCACGGTAGAAGGGGCTGAGAAGCCACAAGGGATTCAGCCTGGTCACAGTAGCTGCAAACAGGACTTGACCCTTCCAGAAGTGGGGTAGGGAGATACCTGCTGGAAATTTGCAGCAATGGTACTGGAAATTTGGGTAGTGATGGTGAAGGATGGAGGAGCAGCTGGGGAAGGCCACCATACCAGTTTTCTCTGCATCTACTTATCAGCTTCTGGAGCCATCTCTGTTTCACTCATCAGTACAGAACACCCAATAAGTTTTGGCTTGCAGCCTCAATAAGGCTATTTCCTACTGCTGAATGTCCTTCCAAGAATGATGTGCCTGCTGTACTGATGCTGCTCTTGGGAAAGCACAGGAGAGGGACAGTAGCACCACCAAATAACCAGACATTTCACAATCCAGCTAGCTGCAGGGTGGCATTCCAATTGCCCTGCACACAGCATGGTGCCACAACATGGAGCTGCCAAGTGTCCTTGAGATCATAGCCAAACCTCAAACCAATACACTGACACCTCTTCTTCTCAAACCACAAGCCCCCTCCTAAACATTTCCTTACAGAAGGGCATTATGCTGAAGGAGAAGAAAACAAGTTCAATTCCTGCCTGTAGAACAAGGAGAGACCGTAGGGAGCAGCTGGTTTCCCTGAATGCAAGGTGAGGAAACTGTGAGGACACCACAGGCTTGAGGGACACAGAGCAGGAGGTGGACAACCCCGAAACACAGATAGATTTAGATAGAGCAGCACAGCGAGATTAATGCACAACCCTGTCTGCCCCAAAAGCAACAGCAATCTGAGAACGAAAAGGCCAAGTAATTCAGGATTAACTAGTCGCTAGTCTAGGCTCAGCCCTGTCCTGAAATCTCATCTCAAATAACTACACCATCCAAGCTGTGGAATAGCTGCTGCTGCCTTAGAGACCTCGCTTACTGCTCCACCCAGAGGTTTTCGTTTGTTCAATTTTGTGTTTTAACCCCACTGGGACAAACAAAACAGTCCCCAGCCGCTAATATTTTAGAAATGATGCGTCTGCCCAGACCCTCCAACCTTCCTTCTCCTGCAGGCCTAGCCATGCCTGCTCAAGAGGAGCAGGTTCAGAGAAAAGAGGTGGGACCATCCCAGCCTACAATTTTGACATTTCAAGTTCAGACACTGTAAACCTATCAGCTTTTATTTGTTTCAAAGTGAGGCCCTAAGCCCAGCACCCCCCTGGGGCTCAGGCCACCCCTACCCTCGGGAAGGTTGACTCCCCAGGCTGTGCAATGTCATCTCCAGTTGTGTGCCTCAAGAGCATGGCACTGTTGCCTTCTGCCTCCCAGATGGGAGGCTGTACCTGCACCACAGACCCTCAACACTGACAAGATTATCTTGTGATGCTGAACACCCCTTATGCAAACACAGTCTGCAACAACATAATTTCTGTGCTAGCAGATGGGTCTCCTTCTCCATGGTGTTAGCTCATCCCACAAAGCATTCTTCTCAGCACAGCTGTACCCACCACAGAGTTTTGGATAACAAAGCCACTCAGCTGTAGGTATGCCTTTTTCTTACCCATGGCTATCATGATTATAGATACAACTGCAAACTCCATCTACAAGTTCCACCAAAGACAACTAAAAAAAAATAAGCTATAGCTACAGGCAGTCTCCAGTGGAGCTAGAGATTTTAGGGTTTCAAAAACGGGCTGAAACACCACTGCTTGGTCATCCAAAACACTCAGAGATCTGGCCAGTGATCCTACCACTGTGAGGAAGTCACTATTTACTGGAGAAAACCAAAGGATGGTCGTTACTCCAGTAACTTGCTGACACACTACTGACAAGTATGACTCATTCACAGCAGGTAGAGCTGGGGCCGAGACATGTCTACCTGGCACATGAGACCAGCAGGAGTGAACATTTCCAGATCAGAACAGGGAATGTTCCAAAGAAGACAGAGAAAGCTGGAAAGATAGCAACAGAGACGCCTACAGCACTCACTTCTACTCTTTCATGGGAGTACTCAGGGTTGATATCACCAACAGTTAAAAGACTGATGTCATTAGATGCCAGCCAGCAAAGAAAAGGATAATAGAGAAAGAGAGAATGGCTGCTGCCTACCCCACCTAGCTTGATGGACAAACAGCTACTCAAGAGGCCTAGTGAGCAGCACTGCTGCAACAAAACAATTACTCCGTATGGACCAGCTGGGAAATAAGGTTGCATATTGTTTCTGGTTTTAAGGTGAGTTTTTGGGTAGCATAAGGTAGAAAATGGACAGCCCAGAAAACTGCTATGCATTCCATCCCTAGAGCAGGTCCAGCAAAGCATCTTTGCACAAAGCAAAGATACTCCATCATACATCTGCAAGAGCAAAAACTCCTTAGAAGATGTTCACACCATTCCAGCTCCTCCTGGTGAGGCTACACCAAGGCACATGCTTACATAAAAAGCAAATTTTAAGTCACTACCTTATTTCACAAAAGACAACAAGAAGCTATTAGATGTCAACTTGTGCCTACTACCAACCTAGGCTGTATCTGAACCAGTGACCCAGAGGTGAAAGGCCCATCCAGACATGATCCCCTCAAAACAGCAGGTCTCTGACAGGCATTTTCAAAAGGGCACAAGCAATTATAAGACCTTCACAAATCACTTGACAATATGCCCATTATACAATGCATCTTCAGCAAATAGCAGCCTTTACACTGGAAATAAATAGAAAAGAGCAGTAGATGGGTGCTAGATGGAAGAACATTAATTCTCCATCCCAATTCATCCCTGATGGACTGAAGTATAAATGTAAGTACGGGCATCACCTACTTTAACTGCCATAATTTGCCCACTTGGTTTGTGGACCATTTTGTTGACAGAACCATAAGCGCCTCGTCCAATTTCTCCAAGGTCTTTCAAGTCCTCTGCTGTAAAATCCCAATGTTGTTCAGGGGAAATCTTCAATTTTCCTGATGATTCAATGCTGTGTGTTCTCAGTCTCTCTCTGTCAAAAATATTGGGAAGCAATTTTTCCACATTTTAAATAATCTGTAAGTTTCTCTTTTCAGCACTTGATTAAACATTAGAAGAGAGGGGTTCACAAAGGCTACAGCAACAATCTGACTCCACAAAGGATTGTGGCCGGGGTAGGGGATGCAGGGGTGAGGAAAAATGTTAGATCAAAAATGACATACACTTGCCCACAGCTTTAATTAAGGATAAGTTCCTCCAGCTGTGACATAAAATTCAATGTGTCTCATACAGTAGAGTCATTCTAATCACTCATTTACACAGTTCTTTCTACTTTGCACAAAATACATCAAGCTTCAAGCAGGATCTGATAACATGCAGAACCAAGAGTCTGAAGAACACTCCCCAGCCCCATCTCCCAAAGCTTCTGCTGCTCTACACCACCACATTCCCAGCAACTGTCTCCATTCTAGTTGGGTTTCTGTGTAACACAGGCAAGATCTTCTGTGTGAACCAAGACGACTTTAAAAGGAGTTTGTTCTTAAGGGAAAACTGCCATTATTTTTTTTTTAAATAAGGTAATCATCAAATTTATTCAAAAACAAATAAAAGCCAATAATTGATATATATAAAAAAAAAGACGTTTGTGACATGAAAACAAAAACTGACTGTACAGGTGTGTGTTCTTTACTGAAAACCTAAATTAACGTTCTCAGGCAAACATTGCTCCTACTGAAGCCACCACAATTTGTTGAGGTAAGCAGCAGAAAAATGGTCAAAATTTGTAGCACAGAAGAGCTCAACGGTTATTTTAAGGTGCCCAATTACTCATTTAAATGCAGCAATGCTGTCATTGTTTTAGTAGGGGATGCATCAGTATTTTCAACACACTTCATCTTAAAATGCCATGCAAATTGTATTTTTTTTTTCATTAATGAATTAGCTGATTTGCACTTCTTAGGTTTTAAAGTAAGACAGAAGTCTGAGCCTCCTGCTTTCAAGTAGCATTAACAGCATTAAAGACAGTTCCCGCTGCAGGGCACACCAATATCACATAGATACTGCAGCAAACAGGTACTTCTGACCACCTTATGTACATGGGAGATTCTGTCAAACTCCTGCCTTGGACTCTGATCGGTTCTCTTGGGCACTTGATCAAGCCACCACTTGCTCATCGAGGGTCTGGCCCAACAAGCAGAACATGTATGAAGTATTCAACCACATGCAGAAAGCTTACAGAGTTTATCAGTCAAAGGAATAAACATCTTATGGCCAATTCCACGCTGATAAATGCAACCATTTGTCAACCAGCAGCTGCAAATGCTACCCAGCTGGATGCCATGATCTCCCCAGGGTTACATTTCGAACCCAGATTTTGTGAGGGCAGTGAGGTCAGGTCCACAGGTCGACTGACCACAGCAGCTATGGCTCAAATGGCTTCATTTGCACTTCAGCTTCTCTGCAACACTCCAGTTTAGCACTTCACAGGCTTTGAGAAGCTGGATGTCCTGAACCCTTGACCAGTTCAATGGAAGCCTCACTGAGCAGATCTCCCCACCTGTGCTTTGCCTGCCCTGGTCCTTCCTGCTCTCTAACCTGCCTAACTGGAGATTTTTAAACTGTCACAGTGTCCCTCCACTGTCCCAGGGAATAATTCAGGAAACCCACTGATAGTGCTACAATACAGCACAGATGCGACAGACACAGCAGCCCATGGAGCAGAGGTGGCAACCCTTCGTTAGCACTGTTTACAGATCTTAGAGTTTCTGCGCATAACAAACACTGTAGTGAGTGGGGTTCTCCATAGAATGTGCTTGCTAAAAAGCAAGGAATGAAAATAAGGCAGTAAAATGAAAATTATAAAAAAAAAGAACAGAGGAAAAAAAGAAAAGAAGCATGACCTCCAGACTTGCCAGCTGTCCGGCAGGCAGTTTATGTTGGAAGCTGCATGAATCAGTTACTGTCTAACTGCTTGACCATGCTATTTTGTCAGTACCATAAAAATAGTTCTCCTTCTGATGGAAAATGGTAGGTGAGAAGCATCATGCTGAGGATCATTTCCTGCTTAGCACCTGCCAGCTGGCAGGCAAGAATAAGCACAAGCGTTGAGAGCTAAATCTTCTTCAAAAAGGCAGGGGGAAAAAGGCAGAGGTATTACCAGGAGGGTGAAACATGGGATTTGATTTTCTGACCAAACTCTTCCCATCTCTTGTTTCAAAACAACGTTTCAGATTGCAGCTCTTATAGAGTTAAAAAGTTGAAATATTAACATGGTTCAAATAAAGCAATTAAACCCATCTCCACTCTTCCCCCTCTGTTTTTTCGACCCAGGAAGCTTTGCTTTTCTCACCCTACATCAGAAAAGAAAGCAAGTCTGAATTCATTATTTCCCTGTTACACAAGAACCCTGTTTCTCCGCAGCTGTAGTGTGAAAGCATATCTCTGCCATTGTTCCTGCAGCTGCAAGATGGGTGCTTCCAGCAGCAGGGAAGAAGACGTGGGCTAGGAAATACCTACTCCTCAGGTCTGCACTGAGTGCCCTCTGAAGCTGTGTGCTGGTGCAGAGAAGCAGAGCTCCAGGGCTTTGGATCCAGAGGTACCATCATCACTGGCTTAACTTCCATTGTGTATTTATGATGCCATCAGCCTTCTATTGCAATCACAGTTCTTATCTTTTTTCAAATACCCAGGGAAATGGTCAAATCACCAAATGACAAGTTTGACGGAGTGACAAACACTTTAATATAGACTTTGCTCATTTGTCACATGTAAACAATGCATTTTTCCTTTAAGCAGCATGGCCTATCTTAAGAATCAGTACCTGGAAAGCAATGATTACGTTTAGCATCAAAATACTATGCTTTTCATCAGGAATTTTTCAGTGTAAATCAAAATCCCAAGGAATTGCTATCCAAGAAAGCAGCTCAAAAACTGCAAATCTAAAACACAGATTCTCTGCACTGACAGAAAATGGGAATTTTCTGATGTAAAACAGAGGCAATAAGAACAAATAAATAGTCAATGCACTACACGCATTACTAAATTTACACTGCTAAAGATGTATGAGGACATAAATCCACAGGGTCGACATGCCCTCAAAATAAAAAACCTGCCTAAACTCTACATCCTAGTACACTGGATACTGCAATAGCTTGCTTCAGAAAATAAAAGGGTAACCACAGAGAACAGCATACAGTGCAGGTGAAAAGCAATTAATGCCCAGTCCCTGCTTCTGCAACTGATCAGTGTTGTGTTTAGTGCTCATTAGAGTTCACACAAATGTGGTCAGACATACACATCCTCTTACCATTTCAGTTTTAAGATGTGCAATCCAAATCTCTCTTAAGGCTGAGAATGGTGGGAAAAACTGGGCATATATTCTCCGAATGATCAGGATGTCTAAAATGGGCTTGTGGGGCTTAATGTATGATTTAAAAGAAAATAAATAGCTAAAGGGGGGCTAGGTACACCTCACACTGTTAAAGGTAGGATTTTCAAATACACCTTAGGCACTATAGCTCCTGTTGACTCAGACAGGACTTGGGCTTCCAACTCGCCAGCTTGCTTTAGAAATGTTTTAAAAGTAAAAAAAAAAAAAAAAAAAAAAAAAGACGATAGGCTCAGGAGGCCATTGTTACCGCACTTGAAAGGCACCAACGAATCAGTCTTACTGCAGATGGTTACTGTGCTTGTCACAGCAGTTATTTCAGGGATCAGGAGCACCAAGTGAGACAACAACTCCTCCAAACAGTTGCCCTTTGTCAGAAATGAAAACATTTGTGGATCCAGCTTGGCAGGAGGCAGGCAGACAACGGGCGCCAGGCACCGCAGCTGGGCCAAGGACAGGGTCACACACATTTGATGGGAGCTTGCTCACTGCAAGCCTGGCAAGATAGACCCGAAGGCAAGATGGCCCACAGGATCTCCTGGGAAGAACCACGGAGCCATTAGGAAGCTCTTGGACAGGCTGTGTTAGTTCCTCAAGCCCTGATGTTAGCACCACACTGCAGGGATGCCAAAACTTTTTAAAACAAGCATTTCCTTGCATGAAAAAGAAGGACCATGGGGAGAAGCAGAGAAAAGTTTGTGGATTTTTTTTAAGCAAAATTGAAAGTTATCACACATGAAGGAAGGCCAGAAAGATGCTGCAGGTAGCTACCTATGTCCTCTCCGTTTTACTCCATTAAGAGTTCTGAAGGACTCAAAGGAGCCCAAAAGCTGAGGTATTCAACATTACAGCTGACATGCATAGAACAAATCTGCCCAATCAAAAAGATCCAAGCAAACTAGCTGTGCTTCACAAGCCTGCCTAGTGCTGGATTATTCTAGGAAGTCTCTTATTAAAGCTCCTATTTACACTACGGTTAATAAGAATATATTCTACCTCTCCACACATAGTGTAAAAAGCTGCTCAACACAATGAGATTTTAGAACTGATTTGTGCTCAATCAGTCAAAGGAATGATAAAACATAAATTCTAACAAAAAAGCTTCCATGCAAACTACAGGGTTTTAATACCACTGTGCACTGTTTGTAACTTCAGAGTAAAAAAAACAGCTTGTGACTTTGGCTAACACATTTCTACCAAGTCTTTCAAACAGGCTAGAGAGGATGTAACACTTCCATCTCAATGTCTTGTGTTACTTATAAAACAGCTTTCAGACCCTACAGACTGACACTAATAGAACAGCAACCCTAGTTTAATTTTCACTGAAGAAAGTCTCCAAAGAAATGTGTGCCCATTTTTTTTCTAGAGGGCTGAAAGTGTCAGTGCTCTCCCAAATCTTTCAGATTCTGCAAGAAGAAATGTTGTCCATCAGCCTATTGGAAACAGACAGTACCCTTTAAAGAGGGACAGTACGAAATGGGTTTTGCTCTGACCCATGTCAGCTGTTCTGAGACTTAGTTATATTAAATAACAGATTCCTACAATGTGAAGAGATACAGAAAATGTGTCAAAGAAAGGAAATTATACAGTTTTGCATCTCTTACCTACTCAGAAAAACAAAAGCACACTTGCTCCCTTTCATCATG